GAATGCCGAATCATGCACTTGCATCGAGGCGGTGCTCCCTTAATAAAGATACCTACAGACCTGTCACTATCCTGATCATGTGAATGCTTTCTGCATGTCATGGACCCAGTTATGCACTTTATATGTAATTATATGAGCTCCTCACGACACCTGATTTAGTGTTTTTTTTCTCTGTAATTTCAAAATCCAAGACTGTAGAAAAGCAAATTGTTTTCTTTTTATAACTTATTTTGTAATGCAACCTTATTCATTTACATAATTGTATTGTTGAAAATTAATTTTTTGAAAAATAATTACTGTGTTTGATTATAGGCTGCTACCCTGGACCTTTCTTAGAGTATTACATAATATATGAGCACTATAGTATATTATGGTATAAGCGCTATAATACGTTTTTTGAAATCCAAATATTTCTAGTTATAGGACCACACCAGACCTTCAGGGCTTTGGATAATATCTTTATGTCACAGGTGCAAAGGATTCTGATAAACATACATTTTCATTTGACTATTAACCCTGAAGGGTTATAAATATTGTGATTGTTGGCTGCATGGGTGGAAGTGGACAGAGAGATACCTCCCTGAGTAGAATTCGGTGAGTGTGGGAGATAACAGAAAAACTATGGCTTCCTGTCTAAGGAGGCCGAATGAGTTGTCGGAGTTAGAGACCATTCATTCATTCAGTTATCCATTCAAATATTTGTTCAGTCCTTGCAGTGTTCCAGGCACTGCTCCAAGCCTTAAGGATGTAGTGCGAAGGGGACGGAGGTCTCGTGTGGCTTCAGTTCTAATGAGGTGGAAGGAGAAATAGACAATGAGTGTAAAAAGAACCAAATAAAGTATTTATTTACAGTACAAGTGTTATAAAGGAAATAAAAAGAGTGCTGTAATAAGAACAAGTAATGCCATGGAAACGAAAGGGGAAGGGAATTTAAAAAATGAAACAGACTTTTGCAGTGACCTTTAAAGAAAATCTTTCAGACAATTGTCCGACTATCCTGGTTGTTATTTTACCTGAGAATTCACTCAAGTGCCTTCCTATAGTTACTCTTCTAGAGCAGTTTGCCTTTTAGACTGTTCATTTTTGAAGCTTTCAGGCATCTGTTTGGAAAGATGTAAGAAATGCATTATTGTTTATCAGATGAGCTTGTAAAATTCTAGTCTCTGTCATATGGACTTGGGCAAACTGGTCTGTACTTCCATGATCTGATCTGTAAAACAGAGCTAAGGGGGCTGCATGGATGGAGGTGCAGTGGCAGAACATGAAACTCTATGAGCTTGGCCCACATGAGGAAGTTTTGCATTCACGTCAAGGCCACCCTGAGTATATCAGGTGTGTGTGTGTGCACGTGGAGTTGGCGGGATCAGGCTGTAGCTGGGGGTAGTTATGGTGTTGGACTCTCTGTCTCTCTCTGTCTCTGTCTTTCTTGCTCTG